CCATGCATTCTTTTTCTTGTCCAAGATATGAGATATGCAAATACCACTGCTCTGCATAATGTCTAGCCTGAAAACACATGCTATCTTCCATTTGTATTTTTCCAACCATGTGTGAAATATTTACAGAAAAAAATAACCTGCAATCTTTTTATTTCTTGTAACTCTGCAAATCCACAAACTTTTGCACACTTGATCTTTTAATCATTGTGTTGTACATAATACTTAGAGAGAAATTAAGTGTGGGCTGAATGCTTCTCTTCCTGATGTCTTAAAAAGTAAAATTACCTCCAGTAGTTATGTAGGACTCCAACCCCTTGATCAATGGCAGTATAATCTATCAGCCTCATTACTGATCATCATCCAATCAGGTTCTGAATGGAAGAGCTCCATGCAGATATCTCTTCAGGATAATGATATCAGTTCCCTTGAATATATGTTCAGAATTGCTTGAACATAAGGTATTTCTATTTTTAATTTTCTGAGGAGCCTCCATGCTTTTTCCATAATGGTTGTATCAATCTTTTCTCCACTCTTGCCAGCATTTATTGTCATCCTTTTGATCATAGCCATTCTAACAGGTATGAGGTGACATCTCACTGTGGTTTGAAGTCACTTTTTTTTCCCAATATCTTAACATTTTAATGTGAGTCTATCAAAAAGACAGGAAGGGAGAAGCTGGATTGGGCAAACCAGGAAATCCTGTCCCTGGAGACCCCTGGCCTTGAGTACTTTATTGGCTGCCTCTGCATAGAGTTTCGTGCTCTGCCTTCCAAGTCACTCTTGGAAGTCAATATATATTAACTCCATTTCATAGATAAGGAACCAACTTTTCTCAATATCTGAATAATTTTTCCCATGATAGACACACTATGTAATCTGGTCTATGGACATTAGACCCCCTTTCATAGGCTGTCTTTCCAGGCTACTTTGGCTGTAAAATCTTGAAAAGTATTGGTAAATAAAGTCATATCATTTAGCATTAGTTATCCTAAACTTTCTTGTCCTCAGAACCACACTGTCTCCAAAACAGTGAGATTTAGATCCCATGTCTCTTCCCTGCTGGGTACTGGTGCTCACAATGTGCACAATGGGAATAGGTACTGGGCTCCAAATGAAAGTCATTTTTCTCCATGTGGGTCTGGTCCATAGCACCAGACTCAACTTACTTGCTGTACCTGAATTCTGAGAGATTACCTGGTCTTCGACTGTAGCCTTTTTACCTTAAACCCCTGCCAAACCTAGTACCCCAAAACATTGGTATCTTGCCTTCCTCCTCTCTTGGTATGGGATCCTTTTTACAATGGCCTGGCCAGGTTCCTTGAGCTGCAATCTTCCACTTCCGATTCTTCACTGTATATCTTTGCCAATCCAGCTGCAGAAAACCAGATCATTAACACCCCAAAAAATATGCTATTTGTGGATATTGATTACTTTGAGATAAAAGCATTTGAAAAATAGCAAATGCAATGAAAGGCTTTCTCTGCACTCCCCATAACTGTCTAAAGACAGATCCTTCAAAAAGAACTCAAATGGGAGTTTTATCATTAGAAATTATACTGCAAACTCTCCAGAAGTCCATTAGAAGAAATCACATGCAGACAAACCTTATCACAAACAATTATCTATTTTTCTTTCCTAAAAAATCATTTCCTCTCCCCTACCTAAATTTAGGTTTCTAATTCTCACTGAGTTTGGGATCTTTTCTTTCCTGTGATGCAGATGGTTAATTTGTATACCTTTTCTCTCATTCATCTGCCTGTGGTCAGTTTATTCCATAGACTTAAGTATTGAACCTTCAAACGACGGAGGGAAAGTCTTTCCTCTCCCACACAGCATTTCTATAAGTTAGAGATTACAAATGATGCCCTCCAGAATTCATAGAAGTAGTATAAATAAATAAACTTGGACAGACAAACTCAGACACAGTGGAGTATGACTGCTGGCCTCAGGGTCTAGAAGGGACAACTGCTTCTGTGAAATCATTTCAGAAAATGGTCCCAGTATTATCAGCTCTACTGATTTTTAAGAAAAGATAGAAATCTCAATTTTTTTATGTGAAATTAGTAAATAATCATTATGTTCTGAATGTTTCCATGCTTCTAAAGTTCAGGGTTGAAACATAACCCCTGAAGTGAAGGTATTAGGAGGCAGGTCCTAGGTCAGGAGGGTAGAGCTCCCATGAATGGGATTAGTGCTTTTATAAAAGAGACCTTAGGGGTTGGGGGAGGTGTAGTTCAGTGGTAAAGCACTGGGTTTCATCCCCAGCATTATGTGACCATGCAGCATGAAGACACTCTCAGTGCCTGAATCTTAGACTCCTTAGCCTCCAAACTGTGAAACATAAATGTCTGTCATTTATAATCCACCCTATTATGAATTTTTTTGTGATAAGAGCCCAAATGGACTAAGATAGTCACATATTCAGTGACACTTTAAAATATTATGTGGATACACAAAACTATCGGACAATACCACAGTCCTCTAGTTTATGACTTCTGCTTCTGATAATTCTTATCCTGGCTTAAAATGTATATGGCCGTCTTAAATTCCTTGCTTACAACTTCAATAGTTGAGGTGAGGCGGGTTTTTTTTGACATAAATTGATGAGGATGAATTAAAGATGGAAAGTATTGATAATAACATTAATGCATTACAAAAATGATCCACCCTAAGAAGTACTGGGAAATAATTCTTCATAGTCTTTCATGTTTAGAGATATTAAAAGTCTTTGTTTAATTTGTTCAAGCATGTTTGTATAGCTAACAACCTTTGAAGACAGCTATGGAGGTTCCATTGGAGGGACAGCCCAACATACTATGCCTATTGCAAAATATTCAGGTTTCCTAACTCAAGGTTCCTCTCACGTAATGCAATCTACAACACCATTTGTGTCACTCTGTAAGAAATTCAGCTCAGGAAACCAGTGATTATGCTAATAATAATAATAATTATTATTATTATTATTATTATTATTATTTTATGAATAAAAAGCCCCTGGTCTCTGTCCCAGAAATTTCATGTCTTCCACTCACATGCAAAACACAGCAGCAGGCTACCAGATTGTAAATATTAACATCTCAGATTCTTCATAGTTTTTCACAATCAATATGAGTTTTTCTTTTAATCTAAGCTCTGTCAACAGTAGCCCATATAAAATGAACAGCATAGACTCTTCTTCCATACTGTTTCCCACTTTGCTCTGAATCAATATATTTTCTTCTCCTTTTGAAAGGACTTTGCCTTATTTTCCAACAAAACAATATCTTGAATGCCCATCATTTCAAACACCTGAATCTTATTTTTTTGATCTGTTTCAAACTTCTGTCTTCAACTTCAGACAAAAGTTGATGCTTAACGACAAAACAAAGGAGTTAGAGGCAGCCTGTGGACCTATACAGCCTGGCTTCAAAACCATTTTACTACTTACTAGTTGTGTTACTTTGGACAAGCTGTGTAACCAACCAATGTTTTATTTTTCTTATCTATAAAAGGGGGATAATAGGAATTAATTTTTAGAAAACTTAGACTAGTATGTAATATATAGTGAGAATACAGTATATATAACGAATTATTATTTAGATGAACATTTCTTGAATAAATTCAGCTAAACACTCACCTTAAATGCAGGTTGGTTGTGATTTACAATCTTCATTCTATTATTGGGAAGCTGAATGATAATTTAGGGTTAAAGGTGTGTTTGGTCTTTTCCTGGTTCAAATCCTCAATGGATTCATAAAAAAAAATTCTTTCTATAAATATTCCCTTCTGGGAAAGCAAACACCGCATGCCCTAATCTTCTGTTAGTTACAGGAAGGACCAAGTATCATCCCCCCTCCAATCAAATGACAAATGTACAAATACACTATAAAGTTTAAAACAAAATGCCAATTAACTCTTCCATAGATGACCTTGTACACTCAGAATGCTTTAAATATTATCACATAAATATTATCACATAAATATTACATGTTTTCTTCACAGCTTTATTTTTTTTTTCAAAAAGTCATTTTTCTAAATATTCCTAGTCTGCAGCAAAGTTCCCTGTGGTGTTTTCACTATATGCTATTGCACTTTTTTAATGGCCACAAACAGCATTTCCTGGTTTTCTAAGAGCTCTCCTTTTTATTTTTCTAAGCTAATGACAATTAAAATAAAAATTCCAAAAGGGTAAAGCAAAAGAGGAAAAGCTACAAAAATCAGGAGATGATTTCCCTATACTTTCCCCCTCCCAATTTCCAAGCAGCTAATCCCCTCTCAAAAAAGTACAATAGAACAGCTAGACATAAAGAAAAGGAGATAAAATTGGCCAGCCAGCACATTGTTCTTGCTAATCTGAACCATTTACATAAGGGTTAGAAGGCTTGTTTTATCATTTAAACAGACTTAAAAGCCTCTTTGCAAATGAGATTTAGTCCCTACAAAAGAATGAATTCAAGCTATTTGGTGAGTTTCTGCTAGACCAGCACTGGGAGCTGACTTGGCAGTAACCAGAAGCTACTTCTTTGGCCACATACAGTATATGCAAAGATTGCTTCCAGCTGCCCAAACTGAAAAGCATCAAGCTGATTAAATTCTTTCCAGGAGGTGAACAGGATGAGGGGCAGGTTAAAAGGCCAATAATATCAGATCTTAAATTGTACCTGGGCAAACTCTTTCTTTATGCAGGTGCTTTAAAAAGTGGCTTTGAACATTCAGAGCCCCTTGAATCTTCCTTTGAAAAGGAACAGAAGGGCAGACAGCAAATGAAATTCAGAGACAGAGAGACTTAAAATAGTCTCAAGCTGTGAAGGGAAGACAATTTAAACTCTTTGATTCATTGTTGGTCTGAGTGGCATTGGGCACAAGGATAAACTGCATAAACTTAACTTCCTTGCCAATGTTAGCACAAAAGATAATTAGAAGGAAAAGTTTTCAGAACACCGAGGAGCATACTCTTTGCACCAAAATCTTGGATTTTTAAAGATCAAGTTTATGTATGCTATACCTATTGTGTGTTTTACCTGGCACACCTTGAACAGATATTCAGTGTGACCTTGGCCTGGGGCTCAGCAGGATGAGTAGGTCGGCCTTGGTTAAATTTGCTCCCAGAATGTACCAGGGTTGTTACTCCCTCCATTCTTAAATCATCAAGATCCTCTGCAAAAACACAAACAATCACAGAGAAAGGAAAAAAAAAATAAGTCTAGTAGAATTAAAGAGGAATTTTTTTTTTTTTGTCCTCAGGTAGATAACTGTAGGCAGAAGCCAATAGTTTGTTAAGCAATACATTATTTTATATAACCCCTTTGCAAAACTCTAACTTCACATATCAATTATTTTTCAGATCATTTCTAGATGTCGTTGGAGACAAATTATTTGAGAAGATTTCTGAGACACAAAAAGGTGAGAGACAGAAAATGCAAACAGACAATGGGTAGCACATACAAGAAATAGAATGCAGATCCACAGCCTCCCCTGGAACTTTATCCAGGGGAGCCCAACCAGAACCTCCCCAGCAATATGCCCCCAATGGCCAGGACTTGCTGGAATATTGCTGGCTGACTTGTTTTTTTGGTTTTTTTTTTGGTTTTTTTTGGGAGGGGTTTTGTTTGTTTGTTTGTTTTTGTTTTGTTTTGTCTTTTTTCCAACACAACCAAAGAGAAAAAGCCAAATATACTTTAAAACCAATTACATAATTCTTCCATTTCCAATTAGCCTGCTTCCAGCTTCTCCATCCAAAAACCTCCAATGAGGATTTACCTGAAACTGTCTAATTATTTTGCTGTCAATTTTTTCTCTGTTCCTGGGGAGGACAGTCAGAGATACCTGGATAGTCATGCCCCAGAGGGTCCCTGAAGCTCCTTCCATTTTCCCCAGGTCCTCAATCAAGACTCAAATGATTTAAAATTCTTTTGCGGTTCAATTCCCATATAATATGTACATAATCTACTTCTTTGTTCCAAGAACATACAAGCTTACAAAAAGGATTTCATTAACTTGCTTTTAGCCTTTGTAAAGAAAAGACATAAAGTTTCAAAGGATCAATTATATTTTGCCAAAATGTAATCCATTACTAATGGCATAATCTACGTGAGAAGGCAAATCATTCTCTTGTGATAAAATAAAGGGTATAAAACATCCTAGGACCCCTCATAAAACAGTTCAGAGAATTTCTAGGTTTAACTGGATATTGCAAAATTAAGAGTGTGAAATCTTCCTGAGATGGTAACAACTCAGACTGAAACAAGTACAGGTCTTCTGAAGCAGGATGGTCAACAGCACCCCTAGACAGGCAGTCCCAAGTAAAAGCTCTTCTGTCTTCTTGTGCTTAAGCAATCTGGAGAGAAGCCCTTAGAATTTTAACCCAGCTTCAGGGAAGTCATCAAAAGCTCATCACCTTGACCTGGTTGCAAAGACTTAGTCCCTTGTTTAGCAGCCTAGCTGCCATTTCAAAACTTGGTTCTTTTGCTGGAGTCATTATGGGCTCTCTTTCTTATCTCATGATTCCTGGGCCAATTCAGATACAACTTCTGCCTTAGAACACAGAACACTTTCTAGCCAGCAATGAACCTCTCGTGAGACACTGTGAGTCTCTCCTTACTTACTGTTCACCACTGCAATACCGTAATTTTTGCCACTTTCCTGTTTCTTCCATGAAAATGAAAGTTCATGATTGTCTTACATCAGTTAAAGAACTTTCTGTACTTCACCCCACCCTCACCCCCCCTTTTTTTAAGAATTCTTAAGGAAAAACCTTGACCCAAAATTATTTGTTCTTGGATAATACTTTAACATTTGAAACTGGAGGTTACTAAGTAGAGTATGCTTCTATTATGATTCAGAAAATGATACCCCAAAGTGTGGTATTTTGACATGCTAAACTGAAGAAACCATCTCATACCTAAGATCTCTCTTGCCCCCACTACTCTGTCTCTTGATCATCCTTGATCCCTGCTCTCTAATGAAGTTCAGGGGAAGCCTTCCTTGAAGTTCCCTTATCTGACCAATGGAAATCCTCTTCCTGCAGAGAATACAATTTTTGCAAAATCTCGTTATCCAGGAAAGATTAACCTCAGGAAAGAAATAGACAATCAAACATCATACCTGGAATTCAGAGGACATTTATCTCAGCCCTTATATATTCTTTAAGCTCATTCAACTCTCCTAAAAACTCACTTATTACCCCCTCAGATTTGCCTACAAATTCTCATTTCTCTCTGTCCTATGAAGAAGGTACATAAATTTTTGCATATCAGTGGATTAGTGGGTAATCACCATCCCATGATGTTTGTGTGCACATTAATAAGTCTGTGTGCTTTTTCTCCTGCTATTTCACCTATTGTCAATTCATTTCAGTGAGTGGTGAGAGTGGTGAGGGGAATTCCCTGCACCATCACTAACTTAAGTTTACTTGCAGAATAGAGTCCTCCATGTGAAGTAAATTTAGTACAGATGGCAGAACTATTGCACTTGCTTGAGCTTATTGATTGATGAAAGACCTCAGACTAAATATATGCAAGGCCTACTTTTTCTTTTTAAGTATACCTTTGGGATGCTGTAGAAGCAAAAGCTTTTTCAACTCTGTTGGAACCTCCATTTAGAATTAGACAATTTATATAAAACAATTTTGGATATAGTCCTACTTATAAAGTGGTCACTATTATAAAGAGTGAGACTCATGAGAAAGAAATAATATGATGTTAAAGAAAATGTTATACCAGATCATTTTTCCAAATAAGCAGCCTTCACTAAAGTTATGATCCTATCTCAATTTTTGAAAGATAAATTCCTGGAGGAATTAAAAAACAATATTATCAAATACCAACATTTAATTCATGATTATGGAAAGAACAATGAAAAACTCAGTGAGGCTAGAACCACAGTGTGTCAAATTCACAATGAAAAACCATGCTTCTACATCATGCTAAGTGAAATAAACCAGACTCAGAAAAATCATAGGTTGAATATTTTCTCTCATATGTGGAAGCTGGAGCAAAGTAAAAGAAAGAAGGTGATGGGTGAGAGGGCAGGGATCAGATATCATAGATATATAGGGAAGATCAATGGAGTAGAAGGAAGAGAACATGAGGAAGGGAAGGAGGATGGGAAAGGGGAAGAAATATGGAATAATTTAACAAAATCATGCTATATGCATATATGAATGCACCAAAGGAAATTTCACCTTGGGAGCAATAGGTAGGGGGAATAGGGATTAAAATCAAATTCACTGGATGTATGATTTCTTCAAAATGAACCCAACTATTATGTATAATTATAATATTTTAATAATAGAAAAAGAAAATAGAAAGAAAGGGAGAGAGGCAGGGAGGGAAGGAGAGAGAGAAAGGAAGAAAAGAAGAAAGAAAATCTAGATAGACACACTATGGTTCTAGCCTCACTCAGATAATCTCTGCTGATCTTGGTGGCACCAGATGGTTTCAAGTGCATGCTTGGCAAATTTCTCCAGGAAATTACTCATCATGGTACAAATAAATTGTTTACATCCTTATGTCAACATGACTAGAGAAACTTTTTAAAAAGTAAGGCGAGGTCATTTTGAGTCATGTGTCACTCATCAACAGCATCATTCCTAAATTACTGTCAATATGATCAGGAACCAAAGTTTCAAGGGCCTTTTGAACACCATCCAGTGAAATTATACAGCTCTCATTCTTCGAAGGATGGAATTTGATATTTTTTAGTTATTATATGTCTGTTATCCGGATGGTTGAAATATCTCCTTGTCCAAAAGCTGTAGTTTTTACAGTGTCTAAATAATTGACTGATCTTATGTTTCCAGGCTTGGGAATACAAACTTTACATCAAGAGGCCAATACAAACTTTCACAAGAAGTATCAAAGAACATGCTCTCCTCCTCAGAAACCACACTGCACTTACTGAGAAACCAGCCTCTACCTCATAGCAAAGCCTGTCCAAGGAAGGGGACAGGGTGACCCTTGTCCTTGGAAAGACCCACAGAGCACTCCTGGGAACATACCCACCCTGCTGAGTTGTTTATCTACAAATAACAAGAGAGATCTGCAGTGCCAGGTGTCTCTGACTCAGTCAGGCTAGATGAGAACCCATAGCAACCCCCTAGCAACCACCAATCAGCATGAGATAGGGAAAATATCTGGGATGCCAGATGACCCCCAAGTAGTTTATGGTGGTTGATAACATGCTGGGAAACCATGTAGTTCAGCAGTACTCCCCTCATGGCTTAAACGAATCAGTTCAAACAAATCCCCCTCTTGTACTAATCAATCACCCTTACCCAACTTGTTCCCACCAGTGAATGTGCTAATCATGTTTTAGAGTTGTTTTATGATTTTCCCACAGTGTGTGATGATTTGCTAAGAGATGCTATGATGTATGTGGGGTCCCTGCCTTCCCCAAAGAGTGTATAAAACTGCTGCAAACCCTGGGCTTGGGGCCTCTCAGAGTCACCAGTTGCTGTGTGCACACAGAGGACTGAGCTAGCTTGCAATAAACACCTCTTTGCTGCTTACATCAATCTTGGTCTCTGGTGGTCTTTTGGGAGTCCCAAATTCGAGCATAACACCACCTACATTCTTCTGGAAACGTGGAAAGAATCAGGGATATCTTTGAAATAAAAATTAATAAAACTTTTAGAAATGCTTGAGGCACTCCTACTTGCCCTCATATCAGTATGGTCTACATTCTTTGGAACTCATTGTTTATTTCCTTATGAATTGGTAACCAAAGAGTTATGCATTTCAATTTTTAGCTACATTACTATACACTTTCCTGTATACATGACCATGGCAACATAGTGAAAAAGGCTCATGCATTATACCCATTCCTACTGCCAACATGTTAAGGTTATATTCCCAAAACATCTTAACAGACTCTTCTTGATATCCAACCAAAAGATTTCATCTATTACAGGATATATGAGGAAAAAAAACCCCTGTTTTTGAATCTCAGTGTAAATATTGTTAACAGTGAAGTAAAACTCCTAGGGGTAAATCCAATCACAACTAAAGAAGTGATCTGAGTCAAGAAAATTTAGAACCTATTCTAATAGAGTACATCAAACTAAGGATTCTCAGAGACTCTCTGGAAGCAGCTGATTTTCAAAGTAGATGGCTTATGACCTTCAGAGCCTGTGATGACCTCAGATAGTACACAGCTTC